TAATTAGCATTGTCTCTGATAACGTTTTAAAATAACATCTATTATATGAGCCAGGTAAATAATAAGAATGTCACACAAGATGTACGCATATCATATATTACAAAATTACCATTTAAAGCAGCACGCCTCCAAATTCATCCTAATTTTCATAAAAAATTTGAAAATGATTTTAGAAGAAAAATATTGTGAAGTAAAAAACAAAGTAATTTACACACTGCAAACAGCACTTAAAATCCACGGAAATTACCAAAAAGAGGTCAAAATATGCAGAAATAGTGATAAATATAGTGATAAATACTAAAAATATGGTGATAAATACTGCAAACGTCATTAATCGCACAAAACATATAAATTATTACTTGAAGTTTGAATCTTTTACCTTTCTTACAATTTAAGTACATTTTCCCCAAGTTTGATTTTATTGAACTATTTTGACTCATATGGAGGCATGCTGCTTGTTCCAAATTGTATTTGCGAATGTGGCACCTTTAGGTTTCTGGCGATTCCATATTTCTCAAAATATAAATACGGGCCTAGCATTTAAACATATATATGGCATATTATAGGATGGCAAGTGTTCAAGATCATGGGCAAAATATGGACACCGCTATATATGCATCCATTGAGCGCATCCGAAAAATATATATTTGATTTCTACTGCGAACACATGATTCTTAACATATGCATGTGACATGACTTTTCCTGTCAAAGTCTTATAGTTTTTTTAAATGTTTGATATTCAAGATATTATACATGCCTTGCAGAAAACTATGTTCATTAGTTTGGCTGTGCACAAAGAACCGTGTTCTCATTAATTGCCGTTTCTTCCTGCAAGCACGTGCCTTGAAGTTGTTGAAAGGATTTTTTATTTCCTTTCAAGTATCACATGTATTAACACATTATTTACTGTAGTCCATCATGGCTCCAAAACCAAAAGCAGGTATTGTAATATAACGGTATAATAGAAACTTAAAACATGAAAGTTGTTTGACATAAATTGATTTTAAGCTTTGTCACTGTAAACTATGTGATTTTTAAAACAATGTTGTCATAGCATATGCCGTGCATTAGAGATCATTGTTGTTTGATGTTAGTTATTGATTAACTGTTTCATTATTATTAATATATTTGAGGGAAACAGCTTTTAGACAATAAAGACATGATAGAATTGTGAACAATTTTGTTGCAATTTAAGGATGCATTAGTTTACATCTAATGAATCTGTTTATCGTTTGGTATTAAATCCTCACAGCATTCATTTCAATTAACGTGAAAATCATTAAATCGTTAGCAGTTGCACATTCGGTTACTTCAAAGATGAAATTATAATTTAAATCCATCAGGAGTAATTTATTGCATCAAAATAGAATTTAACATATAAATAAAGATTACTCTAACATCGTATTGGTAACAGAAAAGCACAATACTGTGCACTTTCCAAAATAATTTTAGAACGATTCATAAATTAAACATAAATTTATGACATTTAAAATATTTTTTCTGCTTTACAAATAACGCTTTAGGTTTTATAGATTTATTTTCGTTAAATACGTTGGCATAATAAACTGAATTTATAGAAAATGAGTAATGTAATTGTTAAAAATTAACTTTATTTGGTTCATTTTCTATTTCAGGAAATAGATGTTACGATTTTTGGAATGGCGAGTTATCACCTTGTCATTACTTTTAACGTTCAAATAGGACTACTTTTAGAGAATTACTGCGCATTCATGTTAACATGTCAATCTTACCACCGGTTATGTCCCGTTTCGCTACTCGATCTGTACTCATCAGTAATCGCTGCTGATAGGAAAATGCTATAAGAGCTGTTTTTTTTTGTTCTCATCCTTTCCCAATGTGTAGAAAGTTTGTTTGTTGAATACTTGTATGTACATATATACATGTATTTATATTATTTCGAATAAGTATGTTAATACAATGTATTTAATAGACTGGCTATCGCGTTATATAAGTATTGGAAAGGCCTTATATATACGTTTGATTACACAAAACTTTCTTAAAAAATTATTTCTTAATTGTATTTTTTAATTATGACATGTATATACGAGAACGACTTGAAAATTAATGCGCCTGTCATTTGACAATCTTTACGCAGTGATTTCCCCTTAATTTTTCGGCGCTAGTGTACTTATAAAGGGAAGTAACCGTTTCGAGGAGTTTGGACTACTTTCGGTATTTGCAAATAAGCACATCAGGGTCTGAAATTTCGCTACCATTATTTGTTTGGTCTGACGACCCAAACAAATAAAAATAAACTGTCTAATACACAACGCTAGTATTTTATATTACCCGCTACGTAACACGATCTTCTGTCAGCTTGCAGGATATAGTATTCTTACATAAAAGAATGCCGAAGGTTTTTACTAGATTCAAATCCACAACGTTGACGGGCATGTGCTTTAATGTGAACGAACTAAACCACTCGGTTACGGAGGCCCACTATACGTAACAAGAGGGCCATGATGGCCCTGAGGTCGCTCACCTGTATAAAGGCACCCGGAGCGGGGCCAGTTTAAACCCCAGGGCTTTTATTTGAACAAACTTGGAAGACACCCATTAGAAGATGTTTCACGATGTTAAGTTTTTACTACACACATATAACGAAAAACAACAATCTACCCCTCCCCCCCCCCCCTTGGCAGGGCAAATTCTAACCCAAGGGTTTTTATTTGAACAAACTTGGTAGACACCCATAAGAAGATGTTTCATGCTAAACATCTAAGCTCTAACTCATTGGGTTTTTTTAAAAGAAGATTTTTTATCATACATATATATTTAAAACCAATGACACCCCTGGGGCGGGGCCAATTTTGACCCCAGGGCTTTTATTTGAACAAACTTCGTAGACAATTACTAGAAGATGTTTCATGCTTAATATCTAAACTCTAGCTATTTGGGTTTTTTCAAAGAAGATTTTTAAGTTTTTGCTATACAAATATAAGGAAAATCAATAACACCCGGGGCGGGGCCAATTTTGACTCCAGGGCTTTTATTTGAACAAACTTTGTAGACAATCACTAGAAGATGTTTCATGCTAAATATCTAAACTCCAGCTATTTGGGTTTTTTCAAGGAAGATTTTTTAAAATTTTGCTATATACATATAAGGAAAATCAATGACCCCCGGGGCGGGGTCAATTTTGACCCCAGGGCTTTTATTTGAACAAACTTGGTAGACACCAATTAGAACATGTTTCATGCTAAATATCTTAGTTCTAGCTCTTTGGCGTGTTTATATAGGCTAATTTACCGCCAAAATGTAACATTACAAGAAAAGCAAGAAAAGTGAGAAAGTGTGGCGTGGAGCAAAGCATAGAAGTATAATTTTCCCGCCTTTCTTATTTTTGGCGGGAAGTTATTATGTACAAAGACGAGGAGCAATAACATATAGCTCATTCATTGATAATAAAATAAAATAAACAAAATAATCGTGTATTTCACGACACTCCCAGCAAGGAGGCTAAGGTAACAAAAGATCGGTAACAACTAAGTAAAACATAAATTATATCAGTCTATTTACTATTCTGTGTAGGACCAACTATCATTAGTCATATACTGTTCAGTATGTATTAGTTCATCTCCTCTATAGGTATACACTACTTCAGCTATTACTGATGTTATGACTCTTACTCTTCTTATGTTTTCTGGTATGTCAACATTTAAAATTTCAACATCATCATCGTTTGTCACACTAATTTCTTCTGTGGCGCTTGTACTTCCTGTTTCAGCTGTTCTACTATCATTTTCATCTTCTTCCAATTTGCTCTTCTGTCTCACTTTCTACCTCATCCATTTCTTCTCATATTCAAATGTATCTGTTTTTGTGCATTGTTTTTGTCATCTTCGTAATTTTTCTCATCTTTTCTTTTTTCATTTCTTTTCATATTATAACAGGTTTCACCAGTAACTTCCTCGTCGCTAGAAATACTTGAATAGAAAGTGTTATAAATTTCATCCATCTAATCATCTGGATTAATTACAAATTCATATTCACTCTCTGTGTCACTTTTATACTTTACTTCTACCTCTTTTCTTTTACAGCTTTCCAATCCTCTTTAATTTTATGACCATCACAATTATTTAATTCATCACTTCTTGAATCACTTTTTGAATCTCTGTCAATATTACTTGAATCACTATTTGATTCACAGTCATCATCATTTGCATCACCTTTTTCATCAATCACTTCACTTTCTTTTTAATCACTTTCTTTAACAACACTTTTATCATTATCTTCTTTATTACTTTTACTTCAAACAATATCATCACTCTAATCGCCACTGGAACCACTGCTTTCATCATTATTTGAATCACTATCATCACTACTTGAAGAATAGATTGATCATCATATCATATGTAAGCCTTTATATTTAGCACAATTTACATCATAGAACACATAAAACACATACATGAAATATTAAAGTATACACCAGAGAACAGTTCAGTAATCACTTTAAATCCAAAACTGTCAAGAATTTATAAATCAGGACACATAAACACACACAATATTGTTAGTGAATTATACACCAAAGAACACTTCACTAGTCATTTGTAATCACTATTCATTTGTAATAATCTCCTTAATACTTTGCTTTGCACGAGCTGCAGCTTTACGAACTGCACGATAACTTTGCTCCTCTTTCGACTGAATAGGTGAAGATCGAATATGATCATTTGCCAATTTCGGCAAATCTCTCTTGCTATTACATTCAATCGGATATAGCAAATTCAAAGGTCTGCCAAGAACTTTTCCTGATGCTATTTTTACTTTTGCTGATCTGATCTGCCCATCCCGACTTTGAGGTAACTCACAGATACGTCCCATTTTCCAAACACCGCGTGGCAAATTGTCTTTAATAAGAACTACATCTCCATTTTGAGCACTATAATGGGATTGTATTTTCTTTGACTTCGGTTCTGACTGCATCCGTTCACGAAGACTAATCAAATACTCATCCCTCCAAATTCTCCAAAACTCATTTAAAATATTTTGTCCTTTTTCCATATTGCTAGTAATTTATCACTTGTGCATTCACTAGGTGAATAATCAATGTCTTTGTCTTTTGTCTCCATTTCTGGAATGCCCAAGTTCGGGTTAAGGCTCAAAAAATGGTTAGGTGTAAGTGTAATATTCGAGTTAATGTCGTCGGTGACATATACAAGCGGCCTTGAATTCACTGTTGCCTCTACTTCTTTCAACAATGTTTGCATTTGTACTAAGGTCAGGAATTTATGTCCTAGAGATTTACGAAGAGATCGTTTTACGATTCCAACTAATCTTTCGTATGCTCCTCCCATCCACGGAGCTAATTCCACAATAAATTTCCATTTGATTCTAGTATTGGCTACGTAAGATTGCACTTCATGACTTTGGCACACATTTCGCCATATACTATTTATTGTTTGACTTGCTGCCTTGAATTGAGAGGCATTATCGCTAATAATTTCTGCAGGTGTTCCTCTTTGAGATATAAATCGTTTGAATCCTAGTAAGAATTCCTCCGTAGACATGTCTTGTACAAGCTCCAAATGAATAGCTCTGATAAGGAGACACGTAAAAAGGCACACCCATACTTTCTTGGGTCCTTCTTTTGTTTTTATCGACAGCGGACCAAAATAGTCAAGTCCAACTCTAGAGAAAGGAAGTGCTTCCTGAACTCTGGAAGGTGGCAAAGGCGCAAATGCAGGCATCTTGTATGGCCCGCCTTCAAAATAACGGCAGGTCGAACACCTACCTAACACTGATTTAACAACTGAACGTCCTTTAGGAATCCAAAATTTATATCGAATTTTCGAAAGTGTTTGAGAAACTCCACAATGACAATTTTGTTTATGTACCTTTTCTATTATCAGATAGGTAAACCACTCATTACGCGGAAGCAAGATCGGTTGTTTCGCTCCTTCAGTTATTCCTGCATTTTCAAGTCTTCCCTTGCTCCTCAAGATTCCTTTAGGATCAATAAACAGACCTAACTGTCTTTGTAGGGTAGTTCTTTTCTGATTATATATACCGCAGATAGTTTCACTGAAATTTTTTCGTTGTAGGTATAGGATCCACATATTTTCCGACGTTTCCAATTCCTGAGATGTTAACGACTGGTTTTCACACTTTTGCTTTTTAATTTTCTTAATGAATCGTGAGGCAAGAGCAGTAGTACGAATCAATTTGTCAACAGAAGAAAACTTGGTACTGTCTATCCCAAATGGAGCACAAATATTGTCATGATCATTAATTGTACATGCAATCGACAGATTTTCTTCATCAAGAAATTCAGTTTCAAAGTTTTCGGAGTTACTTTCCACGACATGTTTGCTCTCAGAAACCGTATTTGGATCTTCATTTAAACTCTTCGCTGTTTCGGAGGACAATTCGAAATATTCTGAAAGCCAATGAGGACCATACCACCAAAGTTTGTTATTGCGTAAGTCATGTATTGTTGCTCCTCTTGTTGCAACATCTGCTGGATTTTCTTTTGATTTTACGTAACTTATCTTTGTTGTAACATATGATTTTATTTCTCTGATTCGATTACTCACAAACACAGGTAACTTTTTAGTTGTTTGTAACCATCCTATCACACATTGTGAATCCGTCCAAATGTATGATCCTTCAATCTCCAATTTTAATTGCTCCTCTACAAATTTCAAACACCTTACACCTGTCAAAACACCCATCAATTCTAATCGAGGCACTGTCATTGTTTTAACAGGTGCTAGTCGTGTTTTTGCAAACACGAGGTCGACTTTCACTTCACTACCACATTTCTGATGGAGATAGATAGTAGTAGCGTACGACTTCGTTGATGCATCACAAAAGCACAGTAAATTGTAGGTAATGTTTTCATTTCTTTCCATTGATAGACACCTTGGAAATGAACACTCTGAGATTTTGCATATGTCTAATCTGACATCTGACCACGCCTCTTTAAATTTTTCATCTTTTATCACATCATCCCATGAGAGATTTTGTTTCCAGAGGTTTTGTAACAATAATTTACCTTTAAGCAATACAGGTGAAAGCATTCCCAACGGATCAAAAACTGATGCAATCACCTTGAGAACAAATCTTTTTGTCAAATTATTTTCACTTTGTATCCTAGGCTGTCTTATTGAAAGTGTATCAGACTTAGGATTCCAAGTATGACCAAGGACACCAGTATCTTTCATTTCAGTTCCGTCTTCTTTTGCTATTGAAGAATTTACTTTATCACTGTTTGTAAGCCATTCTCTAAGATTCATGGAGGCATCCTTGAATATTTGTTTGGATTTCAAATATAGTTCAATAGCTTCAGTTTCTGTTTTTACTCCTGTCACAACGTTGTCAACATAGATGTCATTTTTTATCTTGTTAGCTACATCTGTATCATATCTTTCTAAATGACTCTCCACAGTGGCACCTAGTAGAAATGGGCTCGAGATCACGCCGAACGGAACTCGACAAAATCTAAATTCTTGAATATTTTTCAAGTCAGTACTTGGTTTTTCACATGATTTTAACCACAGAAATCTTGTCACGTCACGTTCACTTTCTTGCAAACCTATTTGTAAAAATGCCTTTTCGATGTCTGCTATAATAGCTATTTTGTGTAGGCGGAATCTCATCAAAAGTCCACATAAATCATGAAGCATCACCGGTCCTCGATGTAAACATTCGTTTAAACTGCTATATTCTGGTTTACATTTTGATGAAGCATCATAAACTACTCGTACCTTTGTTGATTTTTGTGGATTTATCACTGCATGATGTGGTATATAATGTATCAAATCACCTTTGGTATCATTCACTTCTTCTATAATACCTTTACTTAATTGCTCCTGAATAATAGAATCATATTTCTCCAACAGTTCTGGTTTGTTTCTTAACCTTTTGACACACGATTTTAACCGTCCGAATGACAATTCTTTATTAACTGGCAACAATTCCTTTCTCTCTTCTTTCCACGGCCAGGTGACATAATATCTTCCGTTTTCAAATTTCAAAGTATCTTTGAAACCTTCCATGACCTCTTTGTCTTCAGATGTCTCTTTATTTTCAACTACACCTATGGCTTCTGTATTCCAAAGATCTACAAGTTCTGGTTTCAAAGGAAGCGAAGAATCAGTAGATTGAAATATTTTTGTTGTAGTCTGGCAATCTCCGTATGTTAAAATCAACAAATTTGTTTCACTTCCAGTTTCGTCAGAGTTTTCATCAGTTCTTCCTGTAAGTAGCCAGCCTAACTTGGATGCAAGTAGATATAATCCAGATTGAATTTCTATTCTTTGTGGGAGAACAATATCAAGATAGAAGTCGTTTCCTATTAATAACTCAACACTTGAAAATTCATTTTCCTTTGGAATATTGTCTGCTAGGTCTACACTATGAATTATGTCCTTGATGCCATCTTTTCCTAGAACGTTTATTTGTCTCCTTTGAATAGTTCCACTTATGACAGGAACAATGTTTGCACTTATACTCATATGTTCTCCATTCTTTAATTTTAGCTGTAACGTTGTCGAATGTGTGTGAACTGTCTTTACATCTTTGCTACCAAAGGTCACCAACTTAATTTCTTCCATCTTTTCCTTTTTTAACTTAAGTTTCTCTGCTAGTTTTTCCGTAATATATGTTCTTTGTGATCCACAGTCTAATAAGATTCGCACTTCAGCTCGTTTATTATTATGAGAATTCAAGATTTCTGTCCTAGCTGTCTGCATGAGAACCATTTCTCCTGAAGATATCATTGCATTTTCTTCAGTTATATAATCTGGCTTGGGTATGTTTGTTTCAATATTGTCTTGTATTGTTTCTTTCGAAACAATAGCTGTTTCTCTCCTTACAGCTCCTTTAAACCTTTTCGGGCAAAGACTTCGAAGATGTACATTTGATTTGTCACAGTATACACATATTCTACTACTTCTACAGTCAGAAGACGTGTGCCCTTCTCTTAAACATCTAAAGCAGCATCCTTTTAACTTTGACTTTCTTTCTTCAATAGTTTTGTATCTATTACATTCATCACTCCAGTGATTTTTTCTACAGTATCTGCATATCGTCGCTGATGGAAGTAAAACTTTCCTTTTCTCATTCGCAACTAATGCTCCTCCAGAATAGTTTGTCTGTGGCTGGCTTTTATAACGATTTGACATGCTCGTATGTCTATTCGTATGAGGATTTGTTTGCTTATTCACATACTGACTAGAGTCATTCAAAGACTTTGGTTTGTCAGATTTTTCCCTAGAAACTATGTAATTACGAAGCAAATCACGTAACGTTTTGATACACCATTTAGTATCAGCACCCTTTTGTATTTCAAGTTGAAGAAGAACTTCACTGGGAAGTTTGCTTCTAATCATAGACACAAACACTTGTTGGTCTAAATTTTCATTCATCACTTCTAAGCTCCGTAAATGACGCTCAATCTTGTCGAAAAAGAATCTTAATCCTTCTGTAGTATTCTTCGGTGGTAAGATATTCACTATACCTTTGTAATGTAAATCAATTATATCCTGGAGGTCACCGAATCTTTCACGAAGAATATGAATAGCTATATCATAATTCTCATTTGATAATGTCAGCCCAGCAATGGCACTTCTAGCTTCACCTACTATTTTTCCTTTCAAATAATTAAATTTATCAATAGGAGAAAGCTTGTCATTTTCATGTATCGCACTTCGAAAAGAATCCCAGAATTCCGTCCATTGAAGGCGATTTCCACTGAATGAGATCATGTCCAATTTGGGTAATTTCACTGTATTTGAACTTTTATGTTTTAAAGCATGTTGTTCTTCAAAGAACCTTTGTTGTATTTCCATTTGCTCCTCATTTCTTCTTTGTTGTTTTTCAAAGAATTCCTGTTGTAGTTTCAATTGAAGCTCACACATATGCTGAACTACAGTTTCTGTTCCTTTACTTTCTAGTGGTTTGTATTCTACATTAAGCCTTTTCATATCTTTTTGAACATTTTCAAGTTTATAAACTATAGTCATTGCTTTGTCCTGTAAGGCTGAATCATTATCCATGACTACTTGTAAGAATTCACTATCACTGTCTCCAATAGCTAATGCAATTTTTTCAGACTGAATAGTAAGTTTTTCCTGTGTAATTATTGACTTTTTTATTGACTCTATCCTAGAGATATAGGGAGAATTAAAGTATATCGCAGCTAATCGTCCTGAACAAATATTCCAATTGTTATATTAGGCATATTGTAACAGTATTGCCATTGAATCGCGCACAGTAGGGACATGAATTGATAATATATCTGCCAGGATATTAATGTAGAATGCATATAACAACATAGTTCAATAAAATTACAAAAACACAGGAAATATAATAACTCACACTTTACTATGAAAATAACTATTCCATCTACAGGCTGGTACTATAAGAGGATCAGTTAGCTTATTGTGTAAGAATAGACACTCTAAAATTAAAAGTTATTTATTTAATCATTGCAAATGTAAACGTTAATACAACTGAGGAGAAGTTATGAACAAAGGAACTTACAATGTTTTCTGCGAACACGTGGAAATGTACACATATATCACCATTTTTGTAGATTTTTAGGGGGTTTTTTCATAATACGAAACCTAACCGACCTTATCTTCAGGTTCTTATTAGATTTCTTCGTTTTTCATCTGAGTAATAACTCACACACACTCTCTCACCACTCACTCTTCTCTCCAAACTATGGAATTCTACAACTTTTTCGCAATCGAAAATGAGAACAGAGCATGGAAATACAAGGTTCTTTGAAGACAACATGCTTTAAAACCATAACTTAATTGTATTAACTAGAGATCTTCATGTTGTTTTATATCATTACAAACCACAATATGATACTCGAGGACCATAGACTCACTATCTGTATCCGTCTCGCGGGAACCTGGAAAATCGTCTTCAACTGTTCAGAAGGGAAGATTCGCAGATTATTTTACACCAACACTTGGGATTCCCATATTACAACTCTTAAGTTGTGCCAGTTAATTACACTCATGTATATATATTCGAGTAACAAAAGACTTTCACTCCTCTATTTGTAAATATTTAATAATATTATTTTTTGTAAAAAGTAATAATTTAGAAGGTGTAAGTACTAGAAGATGGCCCCTTATTTGTAGTGGAAACCTGACATTATCTAAAATGAAGTAATTATGATATACAAGTCTTATATATACTCTTCGTAGAACGAGATTTACGGTGACCTTACCAAGGATATACATTGACACCTTGTGTCATTATATCAATAGGTTCCAAATGGTGAATATCTTAGGTAATGTACCGAATCTAACAAATGCTGTGAAAGGTCGTGTTTATTATAGCTAATTTAGACTCCGCCAAATATATATCATTTACAAGAAAGCAAGAAAAAGTGAGAAAGTGTGATGCGTGGAAAAAAGCCCAAAAAAAAACGGCCCCCCCCATAGGAAGTATATATTTTTCCCGCTTTTCTTTATTTTGGCGGGAAGTTATTATTGTGAACAAGACGCAGAGCAATAACATATAGCTCTTCATTGATAATAAAATAAACAAATATCGTGGGTTGTGTACGAGTCATGTAGTTAGAGAATATCATACGTTCATACAGAACCGTCCAATGAGGGGAGTGCTCGAAGGATTTTATGACGTCCCAGAGTGCTTTTATTTGCACAAACTTGGTTAGACAACTCATTAGATTAGATTGTTATTCATATGCATAAATAATGTCTAGAGCTCTAGCTTCATTTGGGTTTTTTAAGAGGAAAGGGATAGTATAAACTGTTTTCTTCGATGCCATGGCACCAGAGTTCTGCATCTGGGAATTAATCTACCGTTTGAATCACTTATTTTTTTAAAGTGACCACCAAGGGAACATTCCTGTGAAGTTGATGAAATTGGCTTACTTTTTATGAGGAGATGTCATTGAAAGTAAAAGTTTCGGACGGACGGACCGGGAAGGACGGACGGACGGACGCCAGACGAAAAGCGATTCACAAAAGCTCACCCCGTCACTTTGTGACAGGTTTGCTAAAAACAGGAATTATGATAAACAAGATTCGACAAGGAAAGGCGGCGTTCAAATGAACCAGCCCCACCCGACCCAGCAAAAAGAGTCATCGGCAAGGAGCCCAAGGAGGACCCCAAAGAAAACAGGAAAGGGCACAAGGCAGAGCACGGGCAGGCAAATAATTAGTAACTGATTAGGAACTAAAAGAAAACAAATAAATGATTAAATATTAGGCCCATAAAGTCAAAGGCGGCAGGGGGAAGGGACATGAGAACACGGGGAAGGGGGGATAAATAAAATAAATAAAAAACAGGGACAAAAGGGAAGATACTTACCGTAGACGAGGAACAAACAAGAGACACAAGCAAAACTGTCACGAAAACAGTAATAAAACAACATAGACATACATCTGAGGAACACAGAGGGGCGCCCGCCTTGGAACGGTCCAGTAGCATAATAATGACTACTGGGGAAAAAAAGCCAGCCTATCTGTCTTTGGGTTAATTAAGAGCTTCATCGACGTTCCCTTGGTGTGAATATAATTTAAACTTTATTAAACATTTTACTAACGAAAAATTTTGTAGTTCGATAGCAAAAACCAGCTCTATGACGGCAATTGCCAGAAGCTGGAAATCGTAAGATCAAAAACAGAAATCAAACCAATTAGCAATGATGTGAAAATTAATTGATTTTGGAAAGACGAAATCAAAAATCGTTTACTTATTTAAGGAAGGGTGGAGTAGTTCGTTTAATAAAGTGTTTCTTCTTTCATGATTGGCATTGATTTGAATAGTGGTTGAATGTATCTGAAATCAATAAAATTTTAGTGATATCAAATTATAAAAATATGGCAATATTGTAGCATAAAATGATGCCAAATCCATGTGAGTTTAAATTTGCAATTTTCTATTCTGCAACGGCCATTTAAACAGCTTTAAAGAAAAAATGTCAAATCGTACAGAAAAATGGATTGATATTTTATGTGCCAGTCTGAACAGGAGTGCGAGTTAAAAGTGCATTATTATTATAATATATACACGGTTTTTCAATCATTTTGAATAAATAATATTAAAGACATTAACAAGATTTTATCTTAAAAGTTAACTACATTATTCAAATTCTGGGGCTATATCGGGATTACAGCTGGCTTTTATTGTTGATTATGTTTTTATTGTTTTGTTTTTATTAGGTGAAATAAAATCTCAATTATCAGAAGTTCACTAATTTTAGTTATGAGCGTGATCGGGCATGACTTATATTTTTCCCAACACTTAATTTGACAAAATTCATTTTGTAAACAATACGGTTTAGATTACATATTATAGTGTTAATTTGTTTTTGCACAAAGCACTTTCATTAATATCAAGTATCATACAATGACTGTTTGTTGTTGATTCTAGTTTTTTCGTTATTAAAATATGCTCAGAAATAGTTATATTTGAATCTCGTCAGGGACTTTATATTATTAAATATGTGAAGGAGCTATATCCATGAAGATGTAGACATGTTAAAACATGATCAGCGAAATGATACATCTATAAATGAATTTCCCTTTCATAAAAAAATAATCTCCTGACGTTTTTTTTTTTTCATTACAGAGATGTACATTTCAAGCGAGGAAACTATATAGTGAGCATTTAATTTGTCGTACATAAATAAGTTATCCTTGCGAGAATCAAAAACTACATT